CTCTCTTTCTCTTCATTCTTCTCCTCCTCAGCACCTGCTCATTAATGTTACGGCTGCCATTACACAAACAATTTGAAATAAAAGTGATAATGCTTACTTCCTCCGTAACCTCCCCAACTTTAGTGCAACAACGTGCTGCATCTGATGTCATTGTTCCATTTCTGCCAATAGAGCCTCCAAAATGTTACACACTGGACCTTTGAGGCAGTTTAAGGTCTTTTAAATATACTTTTACAAAGCTGTCGTCCTTTGTTAAAGCAATCACTGCATCACTGATGTTAGCCTGACTCAAACCTGAGATGCGGTGATGATTTTAGGTCGTCTGCTTTTGTAAAAAAAATCTCTGCAGTAAATACTTAAAAACATGCACCTTAGTGGCAGTTTGACACTGGGATCATGTTTAAACTCTCAGGAGATCGAGCCACCAAACTGCTTTACTGGAGGTTTTTAACATCTAAAAAAAGCATCAAGCCTATTTAACACAATTTAACACCAGAAGTAACAACAATAACAAATAGAGAAACTTTCACTGTGCAAAAAATTAACAAACTACAAACAACTGAGATGATTTTTAAATGAAATATATGCAAGAGAAGTTGAGTAAACCTGAGCAGACGGATCGTGGCTTTTTTATTTTTACCGAATGGAACAATCACACTATCAGTGCTATCGTTCCTCTTCCAAAACTGGTTGTTAAATGCATATTCTAATTAAATTTAATCTTAATAAAACCACACAGTCTCATGAGGCGCATTGTTAAAAATAAATATCCACAGCCAGACTACTTACCAGTCACCACAGTGTCTACACCTCTGTGTGCCCATGACAGTGTCTGTGGTCAGATATTGGCCTTTATCCGTCTTATATCTGCGTATCCGTATGCATGTGTATGTGCATCAGTAAAAAAAAAAAAAAAAAAATTTTAAATATATGTGTGTTCAGACCAGATAGACTCATCTAAAATATCTGATCTGGTTAAGTGGTGGGGAAATTCCTCTAACGTGAAAAGAAGTGGTTGACACCACTGGGCAATACAACACACATGACTCACTTCCCTTGTTAATCCACATCAGGTAACAAATGGATGTGGGCTGATTCACCCTGATGGTCTCCACCCTGCTCGTGTTTCTGGGGAATTGCCCGGGGAGCAGTGCTTGGCGCCAGGGGCAGCAGCATCTGTATTTGGGGTCATTAAAACCTTACTGGAGGCTGCCCTGCCTGCTGCACTGACCTTTCTCTCTCTCTCTCCTCGTCCTAATCTCAGCATCCATCTCAAACTGTGACCTGCTAACACATTTCAATAACAGAGCAGTAAACACAAACAATAAACTCCCTCTGGCCCAAACTAAATGGTAATGTCTTATGATCCCAAATCCTGCTGCAGAGAATATAGAGGTCGAGGTAGATATAGAGATTGCCTTTTCACACTGCTCATTCTTTGCTTAGTCAGGCTTTAATTGCAGAACTGCAACCTTCGCTTTGAAGCCAGGCTCAGCTGAAATCACCCAGCTCCTGATCTACATGTTCTGGACCGGCGCTGCCTCTTAGCAAGACAGGCAATAGCAGCAGCGGTTTACACCTGCACACTGTGTAAACACACCAATGTCGCCACCTACAGGCAAACAAAGAACAGCAGCTCCAATTTTTTTGCACCTGTCTGTGCATGAGTGAGTGAGTGAGTGTGAGCAGGATGCAATTCAGGAACTTAAAGTACTTTCTAAATATTATTCCATTTAAGCGTCACACCCACCTTGTGCACAAACTCCAGCTTCTCCCCTCCAGCGATGAGCCGATAGGTATAGATAAAGCCGCCGCTCACTGATCTGGGGTTGAGAATCATGTCTCTGGCAACGCCCACCAGAACATACCAATCATCTCCTGTGTTGGGGAAGCGACACACTGCAACACTGAAACACAGGGAAAGAGAGAAGATGTTAGATAAACTGTCAGTTTACTTAAAACAAGATGGGACACAGTTTCACTAATCATTACTCATTTGATGCTGCTACAGGGGAAGGAAAACAATATGCCGCAAGGATATGTGTGGAAAGTGCCTGCTTACGATGCATAAATCTATGCCAGATAAAAAACATACAGATTTGAGAACCTTTAATACAATGTTCTGTCTGTGTTCAGATTTTTTTAGTCTATTTTATATTCATACAAACTTAACAGGCTTCTTTTCTGACAAATTCAGTGTTTTCTTTCGATTGTTCCATTAGCTCTTAGCTCTCGAAGGACTAGCTGCTGATAAGGGCAGTAATAGTTCCCTCTTCTGAATCACTCAATCCATCATCACATAACTAAAAAATAGGACATTTTAAAAGGATCCCCTGAGCAGATCAAACACTCCGGCTAGAATTTATGAGATGCTGGGAGTTTTTGGAGACTGACTGTCAATCAATGTGAAAGGCGTAGTAAACAGGAAACAGTCCAGGGTCAGACTCTGGACAGGATTACCTCATTTACCCTCCACCACACCCACACACAACTCAAAGCTATGACACAATGTCATGTGGAACCTTTTCTTCAGCATCGAGTGCCTTCACACTGTGGACAGTTGTTTTATTGGACGCTTACCCTCTCTAATCTCTGCTCATCTCTTCCACTCTCTCCAGTTCCCCTCCTTCCTGTTTATAAATCCTTTCCTAACAACTAAAGCTTCACTACAGCCATCTGTAAACAAGCACCCCCACTTATTAAACAGAAGGCTGAACTCTGTGTCACAGTTTTATCATGCCACTTATCAACAACTTCCTTATTCTTTCCCCCATTCTTTCATAATCTCAAACCTTCTGCTTCAGACAATTGCACTTAATTCATACTTGGGATGAGTATTCAGCATAAATAATACATTTAATTTAATTTAATCTATTTTAGACTAAAGACCAGTTTATTTGGAACGGCTTGTCTGATTGGGGACAAAAGCCATGTCCCTGATTTGGAAAAAAAAAAATGTTTAGGGTCAGTGGGTTATGTTTAGGGTAAGTCTGAAGGAAATGAATTTAAGTCTATGTGTATTATATTCATGTTTTTCTTCAATAATGATATTTTAACATGAATAAAAACAGTATAATTCAGTATAAACACTAAAATGTATTAATGACATATGATATAGTTTTGGGCCCCGAAAGAAGAAGAATTAAATGAATCTATATTATATATGTTTAAATTTTGATGCTAAGCTTCCAATTTGTTTTAACCAAATCAAGCTTTTATAGCAGGTGACCCCAAAGCGGTAGTGTGTCAGAAATATGGAGAGGCTGCATACTCGGCTATAAATTGCCCCAAAACTATGTTTTTCAGTTTGCTAATCTTACTCAAGCTGACTTTAAACACACTCTGTGTACTATGGTTCCCAAATATAGTTAGTACATACCACAAAGCCACAAAAATGAACAAAACCACAAACACAACGCCAGGTTCTTACCGAATATAGAACCAGTTTATATTCAGAACCGGCTTTCAGGGGAGTCCATACCCTATACTCTACACACTACAGCACTGAGCGTCGTTTATGGTTTGATTCACACCCCTTCCTTTTATTTTTTACCCACCGGACTGTTCATCCATTCCTCATCTGAATGCTATTATTTTCCACTTGTGTGAAGCCATGAAATTGAACCTGCTCACCTAAATGCAGCTTCGTTCTGTTCCAGCTGCACCTGGTCCAGCGTTGAACCCTGTATGGGGTTGACGAGGCGCACCAGTGAGGCCCACTGTCCGGCTCCAGCTTTAGGTGCACCGAATATAGCTTCTGGGAGATTTTCGTTGAGGAAGGCGGCAGCCATCTCAGCAGCCAGTTCTCTTTCATCCTCACCAGCAGCCTCCACCATCTCCTGCAGAGGCAACGGCAGTACAAAGAACACAGCAGGTCAGCTGAAGGGATGCCACAGCATTTTAAACAAGAGCCATATTTTCCCCATTACCAGGTGACTGACACATTCATGGAACATGCTCTGAGGGAATTGCTCTCTTTTATCAACATTATCTACCTGACTTTTGACCTGATTCCACCTCATTCACACCATTTTATTTGGAAAGGCACAGATGCAGTGATATATTTTGCTGTCCTCCTCCCTGTTCATATGTATACTAGAGCTGAAACATTAGTCTGTCGACAGAAAATTGATAACTGTTTTGTGAATCGGTCCATTCAAGCATAAATGACAAAAATGTACTGGTTCCAGCTTGTCTTTGTAAGAATCTGCTGCTTTTCTCTGTTGTATAGCAGTTTAAATAGAAGATGTTGGTGGTTTAAACTGTCATCTAAAGATGACACTAAGAAACTGGGATTAGTCAATTAATTAAGAAAATAATAATAATCAAAAATAAAACTGCAGTCTTCATGTGTATGTATGGCAAAGCATAAATACCCCTGGGCCAAAAGTGGCTGGTTTCATGTTTAGCCAAATTTCAGACATCTCCTGTAGCTACAGCAATATAAATCCAATTTAAAATAAATTAAATCAAAATAAACCTGACTTCCATTCATTTAAATATTCTCATTGAGATTAAGTTCTCTTTTGCAAGCCTTGCCAAATTAGCCACTTAGCCTTCCTGACCGTTGGCTAAACCCAACTTCCCCTAGTCTGACCACAATCAATCTCCACGTCAGAAGCACTAAACTACAATCAGGTGGAGGCTTAAAATTACTGAGATGTCAAAAAGGTGTCCCACTGGTGGTCTCTGAACTCTACATGGTCAGCCTTACATCAAAATTACACCATGACAGGCTCGCAGAGTTATTTCTCATGAAGTCTTTGTGTAGTCTGGCTGTTAAAAGGCTTGTTTATGGGCACACGGTCAGGATACCGATAGTGGAGCGCTCTCTCAGGAGACACGAAGGTACAGCAAGGTACAAATGATCAAGTCTTTCTATTTAAACTCTAGCCTGTAACAATATAACGAGAGCTAACCAAGAGACCACAATAAGTGTATTACGCTCGGGAATCAGGAGCAGCTGATGTTGCACTTCATACCTCGGCCATCTGTTGCTTTCTCTGAGCTTTGGTTGCCTCAGTGTAGGCATTGTGGTCCGTCTCGATCAAAATGAGGTTGTTGGTCTCCGGGTGGATTACAAATTTCCTGGGAGTGTACTGCAGAGGAAAGGCCACCTGGTTAAAGACGGCTCCTAATTTCTCCAAAGCCAAGATTCTGTCAGACAGACGGTGAAAGGACAAGAGTGGATGAGGAGACAGTTACAAATCATTTTTAACTCGAGTGGTACAGCCGAGCTCTAAAGATGGTTTATGCTTCCACTGAGCTCCTCTGTCCGCTCGCACAAGTCAACCTGGGATCTCTGTTGAAAGTTGGACCACGATCACAACACTGGCTGCATGTGTCGTACATCATCAGCCAGGAAATGTGGTGCATTCACTCTAGAACTGAAGTTTCTTTTGATTTACTTTTTATTTCTATTACAGAGACAGAAAGCAACAGTCTTCAACCTGCTGCTTTTGTCTTCATCATTGGCAATCTCTACCATCTTCAGAAATGTAAAGATTAACACACAAACAACCAAAGCTGGACAATTAACGATTCTAACTGCTAACGTGTCTAACTGTTGCAGTGTGTGTCCATACCTCAGTGTGTTGGTGGAAATGGCCACTATGCCTTCAGGGCATTGTTCGGACGCAAAGCCAGAGGCGTACTCCAGAGTCTCATATGACAGAGGGGTCAGATGGAAGCGAGACTGGTACGAGTAGCTGAGCCAGGAGCGACTGGACATTGCCAACACCTGTCAGTGAGAGAGACAGAAAATTAAAGATTATTATTATTTTTGATATTTTGTCTTTAAATTGACAAAAAATACAAATCCACACAGGCTCTTAAAGCCTAAAAAAAGACTCCTTACTTCGTCAAAATACCTTTTATTTTCATTGTAAACAAATGTATTGTTTTGTAATTAAGTTAGTTATATTAGAAGCATTTTTTGTGTGTATTGATGATATGTAAATGTTTGAGTCACATACAGCTTCCTGTCCCTGCATCCTGACTCTGAAGAGTTTGACGGGTCGAGACCCCAGGTATCGTGTTCTGGTATCGGACAGGTCACCCGTCACTGGGTCCAGCACAGTCCTCAGCAGCACACCGTTCTGAGGAAGGGGATCAAACACAAACACACATCACTGGGTGACACAATCTAAAATGTACATCTTAATAAATGAGCAGTGAATGAAATTAAATCAAGAACTCTAGATTTAATTTGATGTGTTGATGTGTTGTTGGTAAATATTTAGTTGGACCTCTAGTTAGGCATCACAGGTTGTTGCAGATATTGTTAGTTCAATTATTGTAGACTTATTGAATTCTTATTTCCATTTCGCTTTTCATTTTTGTTTTCAGTTCAGTTTCAGTTGGGAGAGTGGGTTTGCTCGTTTTAGTTTAGTTTTTATTAGTTTCAGTTTTTTTTATTTTTATTATGATATGGGGGTTAACTAACTTTTGTAAGCCTAGTTTTAGTTTTTAGTTTAGTTTTAGTTAACTATAATAACCTTGGTTCTCACCCTCCTGAGTGTGTTCATGAATTGCATATAGATCTTACATTTCCTATTAGCATATGCACATGCCCCAATAAATCAGACACACAGACACGGAGAAGCACATTGGATTCGTCAATGGAGGGGTTTCTCTGTTGGGGTTGCAGTGCCGTCATACGCCCCCTGACCAGCGGGCCACCATGTTCCTGTTTACTACTGAGGAAGGGGAACAGATTTGGAGATGGTGCCTTTATCTGGTCTGCTGAGCAGCGGTATATGGAAAGAGAATTGTTACCGGGGAACTTTTGAGAGCTTACAACAAACAGAAGACTGGGATGCATGCCAGACCTATCATCAATCTCTCTCTGGAAGGTTCCAGTAGCCAGGAAACCGATAGTGGTGAGTACTTGCAGATGATGTGGTGACATTAAATCGTTTTGTCTCTAAGTTGCGGCTCGAGAACGGCACTCAGGTTTTGAAGAATCTGTCTGAGTAACCTAATCTTCTTTAATAAATGTGAACATTTAAAGGATTCCTCTGCGTTTCCATATAGTAAACCGCTTTGTCAGCAGTTTTAATATATCACAGCACAAAATGCAATGGCTTTTGCAAGTTTTGGCTTAAGTGGTGGTTTCCAACCTTTTTTCTTAAGGGACCACTTTTCTATCATTTAATTAACAGACGACCCCTGCTTAAGCGAGGGATTTTATGGATACTTATATTCAAAACTTAGCAATTAACCTAAATAGTGAACTTCTTAACTGCAAGAACTTTGTGTAAAATGAGTGATTTGGATGAATCATACACATTTACTAGGCTTCTTTTTTTTTTGACAAATTCAGTGTTTTCTTTTCTCTGACGCTTGATCATTGTTCTATTAGACAATTTACTCAACATTTACTTTTTTTTACTTTTACTACAGATGTGAAACAAATGCTGAGATATAGATAAATTTTTCTTACCTAACAGGAGAGTGCAAGTATTTTTGAATGCTACGTAAATTCTTAATTTGTTCTCACACACAACTTCATGCATGAGGTCCAATTTGAGCGACTGCTAACGTATACTTTATGCTTTTATAGGGGTGTAATTTGAAAGCTAAATTTCTGGAATCAGTTTGGCGATTGAAAAAGAATACCTGAAGCCCAATGTTGAGGTAGAGGAAGCCGATGGTTCCCTTCTCTCCAAGCTCATCCTGTTTCTCGATCCCTCCCATCTCGACAATACACAGACTCTCTGGCTGTGCTGGAAGGGCCTGCATACTCAACGGCTGTAGGCAATCCTGAACACAACAAAGATTAAGAGGGTTAGGACCATTTTAAAATGCACAAATGTCTTCTTTTGAAACATTTAGTGTATAGTCAGACCTTTTTTTTTGCTTTGGTTAATAAACCCTGATTCACATTCACTGATTATTGGTTGTCGCCAAAAGCTCCAACATAACACTCACCTGACCTGGTGTAGTATAAAGTGGTATTTACAGGAACTTCCATTCACCACTTAACACCTCACAAGTCATAACTTATCAATGTCAGTTTGGCTGACATCACTTTCTCGAAACACACAAAGAAATCAAGTAATCCCTCAAGACCCTGGTAAATATTTCAGCATTTCTCGCCCTCACCAGCATGATTAACGGGCATATAGCTTCTTTGGCCCCAGAACTTCTGTCAAGAACATTTTGATACCTATACGGGAACTTTGTTTCTCCTGTCATATCACATTAGATCTGACTTGTTTAAGGGACAAATACATAATTCCTTTCAAATGTTATGTTGCACCAAGCTTTCCCCTCGGGCAGTGTGTAACTGTTATTTTAATAAAGATGGACATATTACTTGTTATTGACCTGAGAAGAAGCCAAACAAATCTGTTTTGGCTGGAGGGGATTCATATCAACCATTTAAACTCATTATTACAACAAACAAATGTGGCTTCAAACCAGATGGTGGTGTTATGATAACATCTGGATGTGGGATAAATTTACTGCTTACCTAAAGACGGTTGACAAACTATAGGAAAAACCTTGATAAATGACTGGAGAAACATAACATGCATGCTACAATGTTCTTTGTCATGTATAAAATGCTGAGGGATGTTATAGTAGTGGTTGCAGTGCATAAACCCACATTACAAAAGACGAACGCACATTTCAGAGTTCAGTGGTGCAAAGAAAGTTGGTTTCTGTGCCGTCTCATTGACACACTCTTGTTTGTGTTCATACCGAAGGGTCCAGGGAGATGATTCGGACAGTGTTGTCAACCAGTCCCACGGCGAGGAATCGCGAGCGTTGCTCACCGGGTGGAACGTTCGCCAGGCTCATGCAAACCACATCTGCAGACATCTCCTTCCGCTCTGTGTACTCATTCAGCTGGCCGGACTGGAGAGAGGAAGAGAAAGGAGACGGAGAGAAACAGCGTTACAGCACAGACTTTCAGTCATCCCAGCTCTTTCCTGTGTTTATTATGGTACCTCAGATTGATCTAGTTTTTGTCTTCAATGGTAGTCAGCGGTTATTGGACACACTCTGTGGCCTGGCTGGCTGTTCTCACCACAGCTGTGAACTCAGCGGAGCTTAAATAACAGTTCAAATCGAGTATTATTTATTTTATTTTAAAGAAAATTCATCTTCTAACTTATTAGCCTATTAACATAAGAGGTAGAGAGAATAAGTCTGTTGCACATAAAATTAACAATTATCAACCACAAATTTGATCATTAATAATAGGCTGTGTTTGTGTAGATGTGAATGTCAACAGCCAAACCAAAGGTTCAGTGTGCTCAGCTCTTAACCGATACGGGAACAGAAATGAAAAAGAGGATTTTTCTGTTCCACTTTGCGTCTGGTAGACCTGCTCCAAGTGTCACACTACACAGCTTATTCTACCAACAGTTAAGTTTTTCTTACCCTAACATCGTACTGAAATTCAGCTCTGACATTTGTTAAATAAGTGTCATATTAAAAGTGTGATAAGATGAAATTCGGAACACGTAACATCAGTAACACCATAAGACTGATCTCTGATTTTACTTTTCGTCAGCAATAGACAGATTTCCTGTGGACATATTTCATTTGAATAAGTAGAAAACATCTGCTTTCTTACCGGGTCCATCTCAAAGTAGACCAGCTCCCCTCCGGTGAGAGCGATGACAACCTGACGCTGGTTCACGGCGCAGCGGACGATGGTTTTTTTGCCGGGAGTCTTCCACTCATTCACACGCTTGTCCGCTCGGATGTGGCGGATACCATCTGGGTACACCTGTAAGGAGACGCAGGGAGGGGAAGGACGAAATAAAATGGAAAGAAAGTAAGTAGGTTGGTTCAATTATTGATATTACTTCGTATTAAAGGTTTTCTTATTCCAATATAATATCCTGCATACTTTAGTTAATAGAGCAAGGTAAGGAGCATCCTTTTCAAACATTTTAAACTGTCTGAGATAATTTAGGTGCAAGAAAATGCAGGGATTGGAGGTATGCAACTGTAATGCTTATGCAGTTTTGGAGGTAGCAGTCCAGTACCATGACAGGTATGAAAGAAGACCCACCTGCACCAGGGCGTCTTCACCGAGCAGTGAGCAGGAGAGAGTAGGCGTTGTTCCCAGAAATCCAGAATCTGTCACTTCCTCTACAGTCTCCCCGATGGACAGAACCAGAGTAGCGTTCACGAAAGACACAATGATGTAGGCATCAAACTCATCTAATGAAAAAAAAAAGAAAGGAATCGAGACAGAGACCAAAGATTAGGAAAACAATGCTGATGGGAGTTGTGCTGAGGCTAAACAGAGATTGCAAGGACGAAAGAAAAACCAACACGACAGGGTGATGTAGGTAAACAGCAGTAATGTGTTTCCTGCACACAGATGGCAGGGCTCGACATTAACGCCTGCCCGAGGCAAGTGAAAGATTATTTAACGCCAAAACTACGGCGCCTTTTATAAGCAACTGCTTTGATGAATCGCTGTTATTCGTGAGGCAAATGAATGTGCCTGTAATGACCGCTAGAAACTGCATTACGATCCAAGTACCATCTAAGTTCCTCCATCATTAACAACAAGCCTCCTTCACGTGCTGACCATGACCCTGCACGTGTTTCTCTCTCATCTAATAAATAAATGAAGATATTCTGTAGGTCAGGGTTGGGGTTCTGCCTTTGCAGTCAGAGCCACAAAAAGTCCAAGGCTGCAACAACACACTCACTTCCTTCAATTGGAAGTGTGTGTGTGTGTGTGTGTGTGTGTGTGTACACACGTATCAAATTGTAAGACAGAGAAAATAGTGAGAATGTTTCTTGTTTCCTCACAGGGTAATCGGCTGGGCTTGCCACTTACGGTCATTTCACAGTTGATACAACTCAATCTGGTGTAAACTCATGAGATTACAGAGTAAAGTCTCCCAGTAACACAAACAACATGCAGGCACAATTCACTTGACACCATCCAGAAGGTAAAAAGCTGACAGGTTAATTTCTTCAAAACACCTTTAAACATCTTCAACTTATTACTAAAATAATATGAAACTGAAAGACAACCTCTACTTTGGCAACACAAGGACTTTGGGAAGATAAGCTTTCGGAATAAAACCAGACAGACTACAGATTTAAACAAAAATAAAAGGCCACACAGACAGACACACTGCCAAAGTCATCATCCTGACACTATGTTTTTTGTCCTCCCCTGTCCCTGACACACTCACACCTCTGAAGACTGGTCTCTGTCAGATGTGGTAACCATTCGAGTTCTGGGAAATGCACTGTTGCACAAAATAATTTAAACTGAAGAGAAAACGCAGACAAACACTGAACATCTGCCTACACATATTAGGACTGAAACAGAAGATAACCACATGTAGGGAGGGAATGAGCAAACAGGCCACTTTATTCACAGTAAGATTTTTGTCCTTTTAATGAAAACAGACCAATTATTTTCAGAGGACGGATGATTACCTTATTAAAAGACATTATCTGTATTCCAAATGTGAACATAAAGGTCAATCTACTGGCACTGGCCAATATTTGCATTGTTGACTGCTAACTGCAGGTCGACAACTAAGATGACCGGTGGCAGTGGGCAGTGTTTGTCACAACAGAACAACTTGACACCAAGAAAGGACAAAACACCACGAGACTCAGTCCTTGATAAGCACAGCAGCCCTGACTTGAACTGCATCAGCTCAAAGTTGTCTTTGTTTCCGTGGCACAAAGGAGGGGAATAACACAAAAACATTGGTCAATTGTAAGTGTTTCACGATGCTGTTGAAAGGTTTCTACACACAGTACTTATAATCATTCCAACAGCCTCCAGGTGAACTGTCAATCGTTGTCTTCGATTGACCTGTACATCTGGTTTATGAGAGCTTGGGAGAAAAGCAAATAGAGGTCTGAAAGAGGAAACTTGTTACCTTCCACATGTCTGCGTACTGTCCACACGGCGTTGGGGTTACCGGGCAGCTCAGACACAGCCATCTCTGATACCTGATACCGACGGACAGGGAAGGAAGTAGAGAAAGAACAAAAGAGAAAGTGGCAAAGAGGATTTAATGTTTTATCAAATATCCTATATTTTATCATGATGATGCAAGGGCTTGATCCCAGGACGTTCTGAGGTCTGCCTCAAGCAAACAATGGATTACACAAACAGCTTATACTCGGGGTTTTCTTTTAGGATTACAGTATTGTAACCAAGCGTCCTCTGAATCTAAACATTATTTATTTAGAACATTATAAGCAAAATCTAACATATTATAACCATATAAGCCAATGAGGAAACTTTTGCTCTGGTGGTGGGATTTATTTGTGTCATGCCGTGCCTTTAGTGGATCAAAACATATTGGGTGTCGAATCCATCTGCGTTTGTACTAGTTCAAGAAGAGACCAAACCTTTCTACGGATGGCAGTTTTTGAGCCACAAACAAGGCCATAATGCGGCCTGCAACAGACGAGGTAAGGCTTGTTTTAAAGCCTAGCAGTTGTTGACTACTTGCGGCCCCTACTGGCCGGTTAGGAGAAGTGAGGAGTCAGCAGCCGGTATAAAACAGAGCAGTAAATAAAATTGTTTTTTGGAGGTTCTTGAGCATATGGTTTTAAATGTGCACGAAAAAATATGACAATATGCCAAATTCATAATCTAACATGACACATTTTCATTTGAAGCAAATAATGTACGATATTTTTTGAATTAGCTGAAAACTAAACTGACTAAAAACACACAATCTGTCTATAGCCGGAGGTCTGGCAACCATGCTTGCTCACTGGTGGGCTTTGTACTGTTTGTTAACAATTGGTAACAGATACAGAACCAGAAATACCTAACTGACTATTTATAAGCAGCCAGTGATGAAAACTTGTGTGCGTTTGTGTTGAAATCAGAATGATCTACAGACTCTTCAGCTTTTATTCAGAGAAGAGACATGAAAAAACTCATCACGTTTCAACAAGCGTGTCAGTGTCTTTCCTTTGCTGCGTGCATGTGATGTTGCCGAGCGTGTGTGTACCTCCAGTCCGTGTCTAAGGACCCTCAGAGTAGACCGGGGTCCTCGTCCACAGGCCACGTACAGCTGGGGCGTATCTTCATTGGCCAAATCAGAAATCTGGAAGAGAAGCCAGCAAAGAAATGTTCAAAGACTTTCTATTACAGCAGTACAGCTTGCAGGTATTAGGGAGGCCCAGTTTTATGGCCACGCAAACACAAACACACACACACCTGACAGGACATGATGGGCGATAAGTTCTCCTGTTCGTCCACCAGCACGAGGTTCTTGAGGGGGCGGGGCTGGAAGAAGAAGGTGTCTCCCTCTTCCAGCGGCATCGCAGAGGAGAACTCCGGCTCCTCGTCGTCATCACCCAAGTGGGCAATCTGGTAAAGGTAACTAAAGGAAACAAAAGACAAAACATGAGACAAAAGAGGTTTCAGAGAAAAAGAAAGCTGATGATATATAGACAAGAATCCTGAACTCGTGCTGAGATCAGAGACGTTGAATCTTTCTCCAGTGTTAGTCAGAGAAGAGACATGACAAACTCATCACATCTACAACACTTTGATGATGAATCCTTTGTTATCTAACGAGCCAATCCAACAAACCGTGCCGTCTACAGGTTCTTCTGAATACAAATCCTCAAACGTTACGTATTCTGTTCACAGGCATTTGGAAGGGTAAACCCCTTGAGATGAAGCATCTCGTTTTCCAGGGGGGAAACACATATTCTATTTAACACAAATAGAATATAAAAAAACACTGATACACTCACAAATATAGACAACAGCTCTCCCAGGCCTAGCGACTCCCACACCCACTGCCCCCTCCCAAAGGAAAAAGAGCCAAAATACATTCTAGAGATATTTCTGGCTAAATTTGATTTCCTATTTTTACAGTCAACCATTACCAACTATTGTTTCCCTGGTGTGTGCAACCACACGTAAAGGCAACAAAGGAGAGAACAACGTGAGCATAAGAGGTTTCAGAGAAAAACAGAGCAACAGAAATAACAATATAGATATATATAGTTATAGAGACGATGATGTTGGCCCCAAGCTGAGCTTTCAGGATATTTTTACACCAATCTGAAGGTTTTCAAGCCCAGACTGCAAAAGTACAAAAAGGTTGTAAGTGGTGTTCTGTCAAAGGTAATAGAAAACAAATGACTTACTGGTTTCCAAACTCTGAAGACACAAACAAGAAGCCAGTCTTCAGGACACACATAGCCGTCGCCACCGGGATCGTGTCAAAGTATTTCAGCCTGATTTCTGTGACCTGAGAAACGACATAGCACACTTTTAAAAAGATCCATTTCTGTGCCGATCGATGAATCGCGAAAAAATATGACAATATGCCAAAATCATAATCGAACATGACAATTTAATTTGAAGCAAATAATGTACAATAGTTGAAAACTAAACTGACTAAAAACACTTGTGGGCTTTGTACTGTTTGTTAACAATTGGTAACAGAACCAGAAATACCTAACTGACTGTTCATAAGCAGCCAGTGATGAAAACTTGTGTGCGTTTGTGTTGAAATCAGAATGATCTACAGACTCTTCAGCTTTTATTCAGAGAAGAGACATGAAAAAACTCATCACGTTTCAACCAGCAGTGTGCGTGCCAGTGCCTTTCCTTCGCTGCATGCACGCGAGTCAGCTTCACATTAGAGGCGGGCGGTATCCCAAGCGTGCAGCACCTAGTAAACATGACTCTGGCTGTACCATTCATTTCACTGTAGAATTCATTTTCAGGCCTCAATCATCTTTGCTCACCATTTCTTCATCCGTCTCCAGGGTAACCTTGAAGATGTCTCCCTGCTCAGTCTGGGCCAGGAAGAAGAACATGGACTTGGTCTTGTGGGTGGCTGAGCAGACAAATATCATGCCGCGCTCTGGGTCATCCAGGTCATTCTGTAGGATGGGACGGAGGAATAAAAAAGGGAGCAGAATAAAAATAAATGTGCCTGCAGAGACAAAAATATGACTCGACACAGACACACAAAGAAGAAGGGGAGTGGGTGTAATGACTTGAAACATAACATAGCTTCCAAATAGAGAGGAGGGAAAAACATGTTCACGCATGTACAACTGAGTAGAGTGACTGAACCGGCAGTTTTCCTCATAAACATCAGTGAATTAAGGATTTATTTGAACCAAACCAGAGCTGGTGATTGTTGAAACAGCGGAAAGACTAAGTTAGGATAACATAAATAACATAAAATTATAAACGCTTTTGTCAATGAAGTCTGGTGGTAAGCGACAGCTGGTTAAACTAAAGGTTTATATCAGTAGCGATCCTGACAAGTTAAATAACAAACTGACCTTGCGAGAGGCAAAAACAAGCACTTTAAGTGGGCAAAATCTGACTGCACATTTGTCCCAATTATTTAAGCCAAACCGGCGATCGTGATTGTTGGAAAGACTACAAAAGAACAACGGTTGATGTTTGTGTAACCATTATTCTGTGAGATAAAATACTGGTTCTGTCAACAGAGTGGAACAGTGTTTCAGTCTGAGATGCTGGTTCTCTAGTGCGACATCTAGTGGCAGGTACATTTCGTGTACACATCCTTGAAATGCTTCAATCCTTCCAGGCAAGAGAAGGGTCACATTTTAATGGGAAGCAGCTGTAAAATACGTTACAGCGTGTGGTACAGTTTGGACTCACCCTGCGTCGCGGGATGGGGCAGCGAATGTCAGGCTGGTCTCCAAAGTTCTTGTATGTGATATAGTTTTCAGAGCAGATCAGAACTCCACTGGGCCCATCTGAACCACCAGGGACTAGACAGAGAGGAGCATTTAGTGAGACACGTTTCTTTTTCAAATGATGGTTGCGGTGAAGAACAGCTGGAACCCACAAACAGGATGGGCCCTCCATTCACTTCCCTTTGCTACTTTAACACACATTGTGTTGGTGGACTCGTGCTGAGATCAGAGACGTTGAATCTTTCTCCAGTTTTATGTCAGAGAAGAGACATGACAAACTCATCACATCTACAACACTTTGATGATGAATCCTTTGGAAACTAACAAAGCTAATGTGCGCTCTCCTCCAACCGTGTCCTTTACAGGATCTTCTGAAAACAAATCCTCTCATGTTGCATATTCTATAGATATTTCTGGCTAACTCTCCTTTCCACTTAACAGCACAGTCTCCAACCGTTACCAACCATTATATCCCTTGGTGTGTGCAACCACGCCTGTCCAATGCTTACCAGTGATGAGGAAATTTCCGTGCTCTTCCAAAGCCTCGCTGTACTTGCGGACCACGTGATTCAAGCCGAGGTCCAGCTCGTAAAAGGTGAGCGTCTGTTGTGTGTTGGCGGCAGCTTCTCCTGTCGGGTCATTGTCAGCTTCCTGAAAAGAGCAAATAACATACGGTATCAGACACCGGTCCACTGTTAGGCACAGCACAGCCTAAGACACCAAACAATAACGTATGGGTAAAATATAGCCTGTCAATCAATAAGACTTTATTTGTATAGGACAGACACACACATGAAGTAAGAAGTGTTTTTGTGAATGATAAAACGCTGAATTAAAACACGAACCGAGTAAACGCTCATAGAGTTGCAGTGAAGAAACACTGGAGGCTAAGACTAAACTAAGAATAAGAAAAAAAGTGTACAAATACATAGAGTAATAAAACAGGTTAAGATGTATAAATAAATACACAAAGTAAACTGAATAATAAAAAGAAAAAGGGGAAAAAGTGATTAACAGAAACAGGTTAATAATAAAAACATAAATACACAAATAAATAAGTAAATAAAAGTCAATTAAAAGACTGAAAAGATAAGTGTTGACACTGTCTGCTGCCCTAAATAAGCTCATGGTGTCAGGATATTCAACCATACTGGTACTTGTTTAAAGGTGTGTGCTCAGATCAGAGACGTTGAATCTTTCTCCAGTTTTACGTCAGAGAAGAGACATGACAAACTCATCACATCTACAACACACGCCGGTGTCTTAGAGGCACAACTCTTCGTGACCTTACCTCGTAGTCCATTTCCAGGCAGGCAAACATGGGATTTTCAAAGCCGACATCGACTCCTACTACGTGGTAGACGAGCGTGTTTGCTTTATGTGCTTCCAGTGGAGAGGAGATGGTCAGTCTGGCAGCTGCGTCTCTGTTCAGGATGTAAACCAGCTTCTGTTTCTCTATCGCTCCTAGACAGAGGAAGAATGAAAATCCATTCAACTTATGGTCATTTATAGTAATAATTAGGGATGTAACGAGGCATCGTGACCCGATTAAAAATCGGTACAAATGCGTGACGATTCGCACCGGTTG